AAAAGTATTTCATTCTTGCAATAAAAACAATTTTTTTTAACTTAAACAGTGTTAAAACATGTCTCTGGTTTTGTAAAAATTAGTGAGACTTAAAAGTACCAGAATGTTCAGTTCAACTTTATATAGCCGATTTGCTCCTCCTGTGGCAAGAAACGTGAAAAAACTTGACGCCAAAGGGTCGAGAAGAGTACGATTGATCAGTCAGCAACCATGTCCACACCTTTGCCGGAGAGGTTTATTGGACAAGATTTCTCTCTTTTTCTTAGTTCTTTTTTCTTTAAGAACCGCCAAAGATGCTGCTAAGGCTGCAATAAGCGCACTCGCCTTTTCATATACTTCACCTAGTGAAAGCCTACCCTTTCATATACCTGAAACCTGAAAAAGATACCCCTTTCGGGCGGAGCCTCCCCGTATAGGCCATCATAGGGAGTTTCCCCCACCCCCGTTCCAATTCCGTGCTAGCACTTACCTATTGCCAGCCCATGTTGGACTCTAGGTCCGTTTGAGTCAACACCTAAACATAGTCCTAAGTGTAATTACAATAAGGCAATGGACGAAATAACCAATGTAATGAACTTGAATATACATTGAACTTGACCATAGAGATCTGCTGCAAGAAGACGAAGTGTTCGAAAGGCAAAAGCTTGTTGCAGGAATCGCTGAAGAATAATTGAGACCACAACACCCTCAATCAGAAGCTTCCAACCTATGTGTATGTCAAAGAAAGATCAACCTAGTCAGTTCAACGTGGTAACAGAGCCGTAGAGCAGCTGCCTCCTCTGGACCTGTTGAGCCAGACAAATCAAGTCTGTGGATGGATTTGTTTTCTTTAGACTCAGATATTTTGATTATAGTGATTTGCAAATGTTTGCCATTTTCATCTTCGAGGTCTATTTTTCGGAGACATATCTCATGACAAGTGCTGAAAATAGCATTTCTGAGCCTGCAAATTTGAAAATTTTTCAGGGGGAGGACACCCCCAGGCCCCCCTACAAGGCTCGTGCCTTCGGCTCTCGCGATAATGCCCCTCGTTACAAAAAACCTAGCTACAGCCTGGGTAATGCTAAAAAAAAATAAGTTGTGTCACTTTGAAATACCGTTCAAATCCAGGGAAAGAAAAGGAGACCTAATTTACAAACTTTCGTCTTTCATACACTGAGTGCACGTGTTTTTCTCCATCAGCTCAGTAGTAAACATAGACAACATAGGGATCCTTAATTTAGTGTGATTAACAGCCGGCAAAAACTTTGTGGATTTAACAGGAGACGGACCGTAAACAAAAAAACTATGCCTTTTTCTTTTTTCCAAGTGACTACTTTTGGCTTATTGTCGTGTATTACACCATAGGCCGTCATATTAAACCCTATCCTAGTGGCGCCCGGTGATACTGACTCAGTTAAAACGGTCGTAGAATGAATAAATACAAGAGCACGGTATTTCCCACTCAGTAAAGAATCGGAATTAACAGTGATTAAATTGTATGATTATCAATAGCCTGTGAAGACTAAAGGCCTGTTCACAGGCTAGATTACCAATAACTATCACCCCCCAAAAAATATAATAAGATAAAAGAACTGATCGATACACGGTCACTCTGGGGGAATGCGTGACGAGCCACAGTAATTAAATTATTTTAATTCGCGTAAACATATCTTCTTCTGCTGCTTCTTCCTCGTAAAAGAAACAGACCTAAGGGGATTCTAATTCATACATCGTTCGTGTTTTTCTGTGGAAAGAAGAGATATTTTTCCCTTAAAAATATGAAATACAAGTATTATATCTCCTGTCAATTTGTGGAAACGACACATCTAAGGCTAATTTGCATACGGAGAATGAAGTCATATTCCTCGTCGACAATGAAAAAAAAACAAAAAAAAGCGATTACCAAGTTTTCTTCACATGTTTTGGAAAGTCCAACATTTAAAGGGTCTAATGACAGTTAGTGATAACTAGAAACGTTAAAGCTGTGGAAATTAGTCGACCAGATGCAGACCGTTACAATTCCAGCTTTGCTGTCAAAATGGCGAATGTTGGAACATTAACGGAACTTTGTACAGCACGCAAAGAGGAGTGCCCACAAATTTTATTGCATTAAGAAGTAGACTGGTCTTAGTGCTTCTGTTTTATCATAGACTTGAGTCTGGGTCAGGTGTCACTTTTGCGAAATTACCGTTCAGCTCTAGTTATGCAAATTACTTTTCCCGATAAGCAAATTAAAGGTCATTTTAAAAAAATCACTCATCTCAGCCAACTTTCCACAGAATGCAACCATTGAACCTTGAAACTATTAATCAGAGCTAAAACTTTTATGTGTAAAATAATCAGCTTATTCGGCTTTGTGAGGCAGGTTTGACAGAGGCCTAAAGTTTCACCAAAATCGCACCACTTCCGACGGCAAACTGGCCAGTTTTAGGTGACCGAGAAAATCTTCTTGTAATATAGAGAAAAAATTGAGTTGGAACAAATAAATGTGATATTTCTTCATGGGATAGGATAGTTATCTTCAACTGAAAACATCAGGGCAATCCGTGATAGACCGAAATTTGCCTTATCGGTTCTTACGCGGACAGTCTCTTAAATACGCAATTGTTTTCGTGAATGAAAATTGTTCTACAGAATTATATTTCTTTATTGATTGTTAGTAGTCTCAAAAGTACAATTTTCATCGCTTTGCCGTTTGTTTTCAGTCGTTCATGAACATCGCTTGCAGGAGTACTCAAAATGCCGCGTGTATCAAACGCCTTTGAAGATTACACATCATTATAAAACCATTAATAAAAAATAAACACAATAAATACTTTATCATTTGGAAGCGTGACTCTTTTAAAATTTCTTTCCAAATTTGGCGCTTGTCAAAAGTTAGAACCGTCTGGCCGTAAAAGTGATTCTGGAAATTTTTTGAACGGTTTCGCTAAAAGTCCAAGCGTGTTTTGATGGTCCTGAATTGAATGAATGCAATTTGTCTTGAAAAATTGTGAACTACTGCAGTTTGTACGAGGTCTGTATGATAAAAACAGCGCCTCATAGTACTCTTTCTCCACAGATGTGATGTATAAAAAGTATAAAAGATTGGTTTGCAAGCACCCAGATTTGTGGGCAAGATTTTTCAAAGTAAACTTGTCGAACGCAAAAAATTCGGCCCGATTAATTTTGTTTTCCACGCTTAATCTACTGTGATAAAAAGCCATGAATATGGGTGTACATATAAGGCTATCAACTCGATGCAAGATTTGTTTCACTCTAAAATCACTTAGCCTTTCCTTCAAAAGTCACATGAATGTGCCCTTAAGTTAACTGATTTGTGGAATACAAGTTTACTGTTTGATTTAAACTTTAAATTTATTAATAAGAGCTTCGCTTTTAGCCCTGGCTAAATCTATATATTAGATAGATGTCATAAACGCTGTTTTATTTCTTACCCCGTTTCAATTAAAGATCTATTATAGAATCAAGACTGTAAAATTTTTAAGAAATTAACTTCTATAAACAATCACTCGCCAGCTTCACATATTCCTTCAAACAAAGTCTGTTCTTATAATCTCCGTAAAAAACAATGTGTCCGTCCTAAAATCAATACTGAGCGTTTCGTGTCTGCCTTGGTAAACAGATTAATATTTAAACACAACCTTAGTACAGGATAGTTATGATTCTATGATTAGGTTATTTATTTCGTTATGTTTTTTTTTTATGTCTTATTCATAAACAGTTGTAAACATCGGATATGTATCTTTATCTTGTGTGAAATAAAGACCCATTATTATTATTATTATTATTATTATTATTATTATTAGTGATTAACTTTTTTATTACATTGATGGTTAGTATTGCATTAGTGGTGGATTATTACACTAGTGGGTGATACATACACGAGCCAAATTAAGGCCCGAACGGCCGGAATTTGTCCAGGTTTCTATAGCTTGAAACATGCTTAGGAGAATTGCTACTCTCTCCTCGACGGCGGTTCGTGAGTTATACCTGTTATAGGTGCTTGCAGCATCCTTGCTTCGCGAGTTGCTTCGTAGTCATTCAAAAAGGAAATTTGTTGAGAGCATAAAGGAGTGTTTTTCTAGTACAAAAGTGAACACTGAATAGTCGGGTCTGAACTGGAATAGAATAGCTTTGTATATTTCATTGCCTCTGAAGAGAACTATAAAGAGCTTGTAAAACAAGAGTAGAAAGCGGAAAAACAAAAAAACAAACAAAAAAAAAAAACAAGCAAGCTTGAGTTGTACTTTTAGTGGGAGCTATTTTCTATTAAGCTAATTCAAAACGGCCACTTTGCTCAAATTCATTTATTTTCCGCAGACAACTCTTTAAAGCAAAACGGTAAACTAATAGTATAATCCTGTATTACCTTAGGAGCGGATTCACACCAGTTTCCAAAGATGGATTTACGGGAATCGGTCAGATTCCAATATCCTGTCTGGATGACTCAGAAACCAAGGAAAACGGTGTTTAGGAAGTTAAAATCCGAAAAATTTCCCGGGGGAGCATGCCCCCCGACCTCCCTAGAAACTTGCGCTTTCGGTGTTCGCCGTTAGAAAATCGGTCAGTAGTTATCCTAGATCAGCGCCTGTAACTCATATCCTCACTCTTTTAATACTTACAGGTTTCAAAGGACGATGTCACGCACAGCGACGTCGTTTCCTTTCAAGTCATTTCACAATGTGTAGCAGCAAGTTTATCATTTTAGCACTCTGGAATTCTTTAAAATAAAAGGCTGACAGAATGATCTCTCGGTATGTATACAGTACATGTATAAGCACGAATTTGTTTTTGCATCTCTCCGATACGTCAACAACTCGTGCGTAAATACCGTACGCGCGTACTTTTCATGTAACATTCTACATGTATATTTCTTTTAGTTAATCTAGCGGTCAGCGGGAATGGCGGACGTGTTCCCTCCGCCCCTCTGCTTTCTAGTGACCTTTTCCGACATTCTTATGTGATGTAACTATTTCTTCTACGCTATCGTCATTTTGTCTTCACTTATTCTAATCATGCCCAACAAAAGTAAATCCAGTTCGAAATCAAGTTCTGCTGAAGCGGTGGAAGGGTGCGAAGATGCCGAGTTCGCCTCGGTTAGTATTCGTGAACTCCTGCAATTACAAGAGCGTATGTTCAAGAACTTCGTGGAATCCATTGCGGCAAGTCTAACCAAGAGGGTCGACGATCTTGTGGGTAAAGTTTCAGACCTTAAAGCAAGCCTTGAATTCAGCCAGAAGGATATTGAAAACCACAAAACGCAGATTAATTTGTTTGATATGAATTTACAATCGGCGTTTGAGGAGATCACTAAGCTCCAAACACCTGGCGCGAAGCAGCTCGAGAGAGCAACTTACCTCGAAAATACCTCGGAATAGTATCCCATGATGCACCTCGTTTAATGTTACATTATCACTGCGTACGCGACATATCATGATCAGTAATCCTCAGCACGCACGAAATGAACATCTCCGTGCTCGATGTGGATGGTTTCCAAACATGTTTCGGTTCAGCAGCTTCTGCTTTTGAGATTATCGAGTTGGCTTATGTTCACTGTGCTTTCAAGAAGAATTTCAGCGGTACTTTGACTAAGAAGGGTTTTACATGTGTTTCACTGATCTGTCGAGAACTACTTGTGCGCTTGGTCGCACTGTAAACACGAAGTATAAGACTCGGCAAGTGATAAGCTTCGCTAGGTTCACTAGGAGACCCCAGGCCTGAGGAGAACCAAAACCATGACTGATCTAAAAAGTGGCTCCAACAAAACAGCCGCTATGCTGTGAAGCTAATTACCAAAGGAGGATTTATTACAGCATCACGCTCACGGGAGCTCAGTTTATGGCAGTTGCAAATAAAGGTTAACCTATCGATGCGACAAACAATCCTCTGAAGCACAATCTACCCGTTACCGACTCAAGCAATCTTCAAGGAAATTTCCTGGCCAGAATACTGATCTGCTCTTTTGAATAAATAAAGTTTCTGATGTTTCACTTTCAAATTCTGAACAGGCTTGTCTACGTTGTGCCGGCTTGCATGCTGCGTGGCACCTTTCTGTTGGTTCGTATCACACTGAAGCACATCATTTATAGTCACCGCTCCTTCTTCGAATTAAAACAATTATAGTCACATTCCTTTTAAAAATAACCACTTTAAAAATACAAAGTGATTGCTTCAGCATAAAGCGCTCTCGAAAGCGCCCAACAGATTGTAGCCTTCAGCTGTCTTTACCCATGTATCATCACACATGGCGTTGAAATGTGATAAAAGACTCGAAATTTCAGCCATCTTTGGTCGATAAAAAGTCTTCAAAATGTGGGTACTTCTGGGTACCTCTTAGCCTGTACAATATTCAGGACTTCATTTTGCTGGCGTGAGGTCCACATTTGGAACATTTCAACATATATTCCGAAAAATCTTGAATATTCATGACCTTGTTGTGGGTCACTGAACACTCTGTGATGAGAAGACTGATTGAAACCATGAAAACAAATGTTTCTATGTGGAAACTTCGCTCTTAAGCCATTGCAAATCGGAGAAATCATGTCAAATAACGAAATAATGCAATTTTCTTACTTTTACTGGAAATCGAATAAGAATAAAGCCGACGAGAAAACGACCTTATTTCACGACGGAATCTGCAATGACTGCAATAGTGCGTGATGCTTCTGGAAAAATTCATCATGGGATACTATTCGATCGTCGTCTGGTCCGTATTGAAGGCATTGTAGAGGAGTCGGGAGAAAGTTGGGAGAGCACGGACGTTAAAGTGAAGGAGATGTGCACTGAGGAATTGCAGATGGAATCACCTCCTGCAATTGAGCGTGTACATCGAACCGAAAAAGACAAGAAACCCGATGGTACGCCAAAACCGAGAACAGTCGTATGTAAACTCTACGATTGGAAGGAAAGAGAAGCGATCCTTAAAGCAGCTAGAAGAAACAAGCCTCATGGAATCCATATTTATAAAGATCTTGCTGAGGAAACAATGGTGAAGCGAAGAGAACTTCTTCCAAAATTAAAATATGTAAAGGAGGAGGGCAAGATCGCTTACTTTTCCTACGATAAATTAATCATCAAGGACAGACCAACTAGTGCCATTTATTCTCCTGGATAATCGTATTACCTATATGAACGGATTACTAAATGAGTAGCATTGCTACTACCAACCACAAGTGTCCATGTGGAATTTGTTCCAGACCTGTGAACAGGAATGATAAGGCTATACATTGTGGTATCTGCCTTCACTGGATTCACTACAAATGTAATGGACTATCCTTAAATGATTATTGTCTTTTACAATCAAGTAATGAGGTATGGTATTGTAAATACTGTATTGCCTCTATATTTCCTTTTTCCTCTGCTGATGATTCTGCACTTTATAGCCATATGAACTGTAGAATACCATCTCATCTTGAATTCCTGCCTTCGCTTGATGTATTGTCTAAAATTTCTGGTATACCTTACCTTGATAATTCTGATATAGAAAATAACATACCCAATCCTATAAACTCTAAGTGATTTTATTTGCATGACTCCGAAAAAATGACTTTATCATCTAATAAGTCATATTTCTCCTTATTTCATGTCAACCTAAATAGTTTAGATGCTCATCAGGATGATTTGCCTGCTACTCTTGATTTATTAGGCTTCACCTTCCAAGTTGTAGGAGTCAGTGAAACTAGAGAAAATGTTTTAAGAGGATTCAGAATGAATAATGCCTTGCATGGCTATAATTTGCATTCACAGCCTTCCAGATCAGCTGCAGGTTTTGTTGCTCTTTACACCGGCAAATCACTGAATGCTGTCAAAAGAACTGATCTTAGCGTAACTGATGAGGAATTTGAAATTGTTTGGGTTGAGATTAAGAATATAAAATCAAAAAGTATTTTGTGCTGTTGTGCCTATAGGCACCCCTCGTCCTCTCCTGAAAGATTCACCGAGCATAATGAGACCATATTGCATAACTTAGCAAGAGAAAATAAGAATATATTTATACTAGGTGATTTTAATATTAACCTACTAAATTGTGTAAACCATCCTGCTTCTGAAAATTTTCTCAATATGATGAACTCTAATTACCTATTGCCTTATATTCTCCAACCAACCCGTGTAACCGATAGAAGTGCCACTTTAATTGACAACATTTTTGCTAACACTTTCAACTTTAATGCTCTTAGTGGAAATCTAGTCACCAAAATATCTGACCATTTCCCACAGTTTCTGATTATTGAAGATCTTAAAGTAAATGATGCCAACCTTAACTGTTACAAACATGACTATTCTCATTTCAGTGAGGAAGCTTTTGTTGACGAAGTATCTCACCTTGATTTCTCTCCAATTTACAATAGTAATTTGAACACTAATGGCAAGTTTTATCTTTTCTATGACCAAATCGATTCTATTTGCAAGGTACGTGTACCTTATAAGAGGCTTTCCAAGAAGGAGGTTGAAATATCCTCCAAACCTTGGATTACTAAAGAAATCTTTGCTAAAATGAAGTATAGGGATAAACTATATTCCAAATTACTTAAAAGTAAACAACCAAATCCTAACCTTCATTATCTCTATAAGAAATTTAGAAATAGGGTTGTTAAAGATCTGAAAGATAGTAAAACCTCAAATTATAATCAATATTTTTCTTTAAATAAGCTTAACATACAAAAGCTATGGTCTGGTCTTAGATCGATCTTAAACGTTGGCAGCTACATAACTTTCATTTTAAATAACAATAAGTCTGTTGACAATCCTAAAGACATTGCAAACATCTTTAATAACTTTTTTGCAAATGTTGGTAAAACTACAGAGAAGGGAATCCCCCGGGGAAGTCATAGCCCATCATTCTACCTTAGGGGTAACTACTAAGGATCAATTTTTTTATCCCCTGTCACTTCACATGAAATCTGAACTTTTACTGGTAACATAGGCACGTTAAACGTGCATGAGCTATTTTGAATGCTTCAGTGTAACTATAATACTTCGGTGTAACCTTACCATGAGTGATGAATCTACCTTTTTCACCCTAAATGTAGATTTGGTTTTTGTGCGAAATTGGGTATTGCGCTACATAAATGAAAACGCGAAACGCTCAGCTGAGTCGATCCTCAACCTATATATTCACTTTCCTCTGTCTTTCCCTGTTACATCTGGTGCAAGTTAAACAAATTGTTGAAGTAAAATAAATTTCTACTCACCAAACGTTGATTAGAAGGAAAACTTTAAGGTTTCCTCGGAGTTTCTTAAGCCAAAATGTGACTCATCGAATACTGAATAGTTGCGAAATACCAGGATTTTTATCATTGTGGTAGATGGTTGCATCATAATAATTCACGAGGTTTTCACGTGCGATTCTACTCAGTGAAACAGTCTTTAACTCCGAAAACTTATTTCTCCATGTTTTAAAAGCTATTGCTTCTTAAAAGACAAGAGCCTCTTTTAAGGCATTGGTTACAAAACGAAACAGGTCTTCATACGTTCAAGTTACTATTTATCATTGTGAAAAGCCAATCTCCATGAGATGTACAGTCACACAGCTGGCACGTGAAAGTGTTGGACTTTGCCCCCTTTCGTGGTTCGTACGTGAGGGAATTCGAGTTATCACACAGTAATCTAGTAAACACAATTATAAAAATAACTCATGCACACAATTTGCATGTGAAGATGTTGGTCTTTGGCCCTTTTACAATTCCTGCGTAAAAAAAGGCAAATTGTTTTACTACAAAATTTTCTCAAGCGATTTTAAGAAATCACCTCGGCTTTATTACAACACCTGCAATTAAATTATGTTTCATGCAACGTCAAGGTTGATAGTCTAACATTTATTAACTACCAAGAAAATTATCAAACTGCCGAAATATATTTCTACTTGTATCATGTTACTCCACTCAATACAACAGTATCTAATTTTGTGTCAACTAGCTTCTTCCAATTTTATTCCCTAACGCTACTGTTTCTACTTAAGTTACTCATCTTTACTAAATAAAATAGGTTTCAGAAACTATAATACTTAGTATGCAGGAAGGATGTATTATGCTGGTCACTTATTATTCTTTTTTTTTGTTTTGCCAGAACGAAAAAGGTCTGCGAGAGAATGATATTTTTAAAGCTTGTTTACAGGATTAACAATACTCGGTACAGCTTTCACAAAAATAAGCTGCCTTTTTAAACTTCTAAAACCGCATTTTATAGGGCGCATACTTTCGAATCAAAGTCTATATCTAAATATCAATTATTGCTTCATTGGAAGAGCTTTGAAAATATATGATCTTTTATACTCTACCCAGTTGTAGCGGGTGAAACAGAACTCATACTGACGTGCGTTGTACCGATAGCCGAATTAGGTCAGAAATGCCTTGAAGCAGCATCCATACTAAAATATGAACCCTTAAACAGCTGCATCACTGTACACAGCGTTTGAATCATGAAGATATTTAATGTAATTCTTCCAAACACCTGTAGCCGTAATAAAAGACGAATAAATTGTAAAGAATCAAGATGGCGGTCTCAAAGTGCCCTTGTTCGACCTTTACCAATGTCATGTTTAACCCTATTCAGACTGGGGGGGGGCTTTTCGAACCCCCCCTCCGGCAAAATCGTGATAACTCCTACACCGAAAGAGCTATGACGTTCAAATTTCCGACTTTTCCTAAAATTTATCTAGGAACATTTTGGCATAATTACCATGTCCATGTGATTAATCATGTTGCCATAGCCACCAGTTTCTGACACATAGGTTTTGGAAAATTTAAGAAATGGTGATTTTTTTGTTTTAAGATCGCGTTTTTACACTTATAGTGCTTTTTGTTGTTAAAATGGTCTTTGCTTGGGACTAGTTTTTGAATTACATCAAAATGTTTCAACATCGAATATTTGGGGGGGAGGGGTGGGGTAAAATTTGTCACTTTTTTGCTTTGACAAATATGCTGCCCTATTTTCCAAATAACACTTCCAAAGTCATTTGTTTGGGTAATAAACATTAGTTTGATACTTCTTTTATACATTCTGAGCTTTTTCCCCTTTGAAAGTTGCTTTAAATTATAATTTTAACAAAAAAACGGAAATCCAAGATGGCGGATCCAAGATGGCGGATCCAAGATGGCGGATCCAAGATGGCGGACAACCATTTCAAATTTTAAATTTTATTGCTTCCTATTGCTTTTTCTCGCTGTACAAGTGTTTCCTTGTTACTAGTTAATAAGAAAGGATAACAAAGAGATGACTTTACCAATATTATTGATACGTATACGTATCTAAGTGGAAAAATAATAAGAAACATTGAACAATTGGAATATGACGTCACTATGACGTCATCATTGAGCGTGGCTAGTCAAAACTGGGTGTGGGGCTTCTTTGTACGGAGATGATCATTGTGTGTAAATTTCATGACCCTAGCATTATTGGTTCCAGAGATACAGAGGGGGGGTCCGAGGAGCCCCCCCCCCCAGTCACAGATTGACCAAAAAAGCCCAGTCTGAATAGGGTTAAGTAGATGCTAAGATCTCATTGGTTCCTAAGCATCAACTAATAGTACCTTCAACCTTATTGGCTCTTGCAACAAACATCCGAACATACAAAGTTACAAAGTTACAAAGCCACAAAGATACATACGCTCACACCACTGACATATGAGCTATTTTTTCAAAATAGCTCAAAAATGGATGCTAGCAAGTCTTCTGGCCCATACAGTGTACCTGTTACCATTTAGAAAACTATTAGGGACTATACATCTGAGCCTGCTGCATTTTTAGTCAATGATTCTTTTGCTAGTGGTAATTTTCCCGAGAAATTTAAATTGGCAAGGATTACTCCTGTTTTTAAGAAAGGCTCAAGATTTGACACAGACAATTATAGACCAATTATTTGAAAACAGACAGTTATTTGGAAGAGCTAAAAATACTTTCTCCACTTCAGTTTGGTTTCACAGAAAAATGTTCGAATACCCATGCTCTTATTTCTATCACTGAATCTATTCGCCAGTCCATTGATAATAATGAATTTGGCTGTGGCATATTTATAGATTTGAAAAAAGCATTCGATAATGTTAATCATGCAATCCTTTTAACTAAGCTCAACCATTATGGAATAAGAGGTGTTGTGCATGATTGGTTTAAATCTTAC